CCGCCAGGGGGCGCGTCCCCGCCGACTCCCTCCTGCTGGGCCTTATCTGCGCGCGCCCGGCGGGTGGGTGCAATAGCGACCGCCACTTTCATCATCAGCCCGGGAAGGATCCCAACCCTGCCCAGCCCCGACTATCCGCGACTCTGCGGAGCCGTCCCGCCACGACCCCAGTACCCCCATTCAGATTCCGTCTCCCACATTCAGCTCTGCTCTTGCCTCAGCCTGTGCCCATATAAACCGGCCTCTATCCGACCATCTGTCACCCCACTCCAGGAGTGCATCTTTATCCAGTACGTTCTCCCGGCCCGCTGGCTCCCAAACCCTCTGGGCCTCCCTGTCTGCTCTTCCCGGCACTACTTTCATTTTCTCTAAGGGTCTCACGTGGGGTGAGGTTGACAGTGGGGTCCCCCCGAATCTGAGGTGGCGCATACGCTCAGACATCCCTTCCCCCAACGCATGGGAGGGAGAGGGAAGAGGAATGCCTACTCCCCGCTCCCTCCCACACCTGAAACAAGTTGCTCACGCCCCCAGCTTTCAGAGGCCACATCACCCCTTCCCAGACAGCATACTCCTCCACTCCACTGCCTCCCCCACTTACTAGCGTTGGGCAAATGACTAGACTTCATACCACAATTTCCTCATCTGTGAAATGGAAATAATAAGAGTGCTCACTCCACTGGGTTCCTGCAAGGATTAAATGAGTTGATGCATTAAAACGGCATGGGACTTTGCCCGAGGGAAAACACTGCTAAGTGAGTGTGAAACAATGAAGCCTAGTTCTGCTCTTGGAGCTACAGAGAGGGGTTCCCCCAGAAGGTGGGGATTTCCAGACTCCACCCAGATGGGGGAAAGGGGGCCAGTCTGCTGTAGGGTTCTTGGAGTCCCATAACCTTAAAGGAACTGGCCACAAAGGCATGCTTTCCATAAATATGTATTAAATATCTACTGTGTGCCAGACACTGTTATAGGTGCCATGGACACAGCAGTAAACAAGACACCTTACCTTCATGGAGCTGACATTCTGGTGAGGAACAGAGAGCATAAACAAATAAATGGGATAATGTATTATGAAGATGACAAAACAACTACAGGATGGAGAGTGAGAAGAGGCTGTCTTAGACCGGAGGCTCAGAGAAGACCTCTCTGAGGAGCTAACGTTGGAGCTGAGACCATTCCGCTGCCCCACCTCACACAAGAAGGATCCAGGCATGATAAGGTCTGAGGAAAGGGCATTCCAGGCCAAAGGAACAGCGAGTGCAAAGGTCCTGAGGTGAGAATAAACTTGGTGTTTTGAGGACAGTCAAGAAGGCAGTGATGATACCTAGACTGATAGATGGGAAGAGATGAAGTTGGAAAGGTAGGCCCATCACATGGAGACTGGAAGGTCCTGATGACAAGTTTAGGAAATCTCTTGAGGGCAAGAGGGAGCCACAGAGGATTTTGAGCAGAAGGACCTGTTGAGCTTTGGATCTGAGCTGAAAAGTCTACAGTTAGCAACCCATTAGGAGGTACCCCAGTGATGTTTACACCCCATCCGAGGATGTGGGACAATAGTGGAGGAAGGTATCAGGGGATACCTAAACTGATCACTCTATATTATCTATGACACTTGGGGAGACTGAGGCCCAAAGAGAGGAGTTACTTGCCTGCAGTCAAACAGCTGCCAGGTAGTGCCAAGAGAACAGCCAGGTACACAGCAGTTGTCAAATGGTTGCTGAAATCTGCCAGCCACAAGCACTTTCCCTCTCACTGCCCAGACTGCAGTTCTGCTGACTTAAATGGAGACTTGTGGTTCTTCTCCTTTTTAATCACCGTGCAAGCCTTCTCGCGCACCAGATTTCTCTGAAGCCCAAAGTGGTTTTTTCTCACTTAATTTCTTCTCACCAGCATCCCCTCTAAAGTCCAGTTTCTTGTTTTAATGTTCTCTGTGATCGAGACTTTTCACCTTTTGTTTTTCCTTAGAAAAGCAAAAGAGTTTACAATGAATAACCCTTCCGTCGCCTTGCTTTGCCCTAGATTTTGAAGGCATCACGGCTCAGAGCCCGATTTCGGCTTCTCCACGGGGAGGCTTACTGGCTGTGGCTCCTCCCCCTCCACAGGTCACTGGGACCCAAAAAGATCTGAAAGAGGTTTATTCGAATTCCCCGCGGAACCGAGCAAGATGGTCTGAGCCGGGCAGGTCCCATCGCCCTTCCTTCCAATGGGTGAAAGCACCTGCTGCCTGACAAGTTCCAGGGCGGGAAACTCTCAGGATTAATAATAACAAAACAACAGTTAGTAACAGTGTTAATAAGTAGTTATTAATGCCATTAACAGTAATATTAACAATGAACATTAATAACGGCAACAAAATGAAAGTTAAGTAGTACAGGATTAATAACGAATGGGTTGATAATAAATATCATGTAACCATAGTTAATATATCTAATTAATTAATAATAATAGTTGCAGTGAACTATTACAGGATTAATAGCAAATTTAAAATAACAATAGGGTATTAGCAGTAATAATAAATAGGATAATAACAGTTAACAGGTCTAGGATTAATAATAATAGAACCTAAAGCTTACAGGAAAAATAATCATAAATATAAAATAACAAAATGTTAGGAATAATATTAACAATAAATGTAATATAATAATATCATCATAGTTAACAGTTCTAGGACTAACCATAACTGCATTTAATAGTCACAGGATTAATAATAAATATAAAAATAATAGTAGGCTGGGACAGGATTAACAGTAACAAATGTGATCACACACTATAATTATAATAGTTAAAAGATCTAGGGTTAATAATAATATGATTAATAGTTTTTGAGGCTTGCTCGATGCCAGGCATTCCTCTACACCATTCCTGAAAAACAGAACTTTCTGTGATGATGGAAATGTTCTCTCTGGGCTGTCCAGCATAGTCACCACTGGCTACATGAGGCTTCTGAGCACTGGAAAGGTGGCTAGTGTCTCTGAGGAACTGACTTTGCGACTTTAATGTTTGTGAATTAAAACTGAAACAGCCACATGTGGCTAGTGGCTACTGTCCTGGACTGCACAGCTCTGGGCGTTTTACATATGTTGTCATTTAATTCTCACGACAGCCCTAGGGCAGGTACTGTTATTGTTATTATTGTCCCCTTTTCATGATGAAGAAACTGAGGCACTGAAAAGTTAAGTCATTAGAGTCTCTCCCCACTTCAAAGACAGGATACCATTGTCTGAGGGAGCCCATAATTAAGAACGAAGGCTCTGGGGTCACCAAGACAGGCTTAGAATTCTGTGTTCAGAATCCTCTTAGCAGCGTGGTCACTTGGACTCTCTGAGCCTCAGTGTCCTCATCTGTAAAATGGAGCCAATCATAAGGCTGACCTCATTGGGTAGTGGGGGAGAATTTGATGAGAAAACTTACATTAAGAGCTTAGGAGTTTGGGTGGCACTGCCACATAACACATGCTCATATCATTGGGTGTGACAGTGGTGACCACGGAGACCAGCTCTGTGGGTGACAGACCCTCACACTCATTTTCCAGATGAGAACACTGAGGCTTGAGACTAAAGACTGTTTGCTCCAGGTCACCCAGCCGGTGAATGGAGGCCCTGGTGTCCACATCTGTAAAAGGCACTTCTGGAGACCGGTCCTCACGGGCCTGTGCCGCACTCAGCAGAGCTGTGGAGTGTGGCCGCCTGCACCTAGATTTCTGAGGCACTGCCAGCAGCACAACCCAGGCAGAGGGCCACCTCGAGGGCGGGGCCACCTCGGACAGCCCCCTCCAGCAGAGTCACGGGTGCGGGCTGCCATCGTGACTCCCGGCTCGTAGAACAACCTGCTTATGATTCCAGGAGTTCCAGCAATTCCAGCCCAGGAGCCCTGCGGCCAGGGCTGCACCCAGGAAAGCCACAGGGGAACATCATGTGGGTGTGGCCACAGGCAGGACCCCCACAGCCTAGTGAGCACAGAAGGCCTGACCATAGCCCCAGGGGGCCTGGTGGGCGGAACATTTGGCCAAAGAGGATTATTCTAGATCCTTAAGGATTTGGACTTCTCAGGACTTGTTAACTCCTTCTTTCGTTCCTCCCTTTTGGAATGGGAATGTCTGTCCTCTGCCTGCCCCACCATTGTGTTTTGGAGGCACATAACATGTTTGATTTCACAGCACAAGAGGAATTTGCCTCAGAATGAATGGTTGTACCTTGAGTCTCCTGATTTAGATGAGACTTTGGACTTTTAAGCCACAAAGTTACTTTAGTTACATTGCACATAACTAACATGGAGAACAAGACGGCTCTGGGGGCGCCCAACCCACCCTTCTTCCACCCATCGGGGTCCAACTG